GCCTCAGCCTCAGCCTGCCTCAGCCTCAGCCTCAGCCTGCCTCAGCCTCAGCCTGCCTCAGCCTCAGCCTCAGCCTGCTTCCGCCTCAGCCTCAGTCTGCCTTCAGCCTCGGCCTCAGCCTCAGCCTGCCTCAGCCTCAGCCTGCATCAGCCTCAGCCTCAGCCTCAGCCTGCCTCTGCATCAGCCTGCCTCAGCCTCAGCCTCAGCCTGCCTCAGCCTCAGCCTCAGCCTGCTTCAGCCTCAGCCTCAGTCTGCCTTCAGCCTCGGCCTCAGCCTCAGCCTGCCTCAGCCTCAGCCTCAGCCTGCCTCAGCCTCAGCCTCAGCCTGCCTCAGCATTCAAGATGTGGCCCGGGAATGGAGATCTGGGAACTCGAAGAACACGAAGTGGCCTACAGTTGGCTCCGGGCATTCAAAATCATGCCCAGGATTGGAGTTCTGGGAATTCGAAGACCACGAAGTTGCCTACAGTTGGCTCTGGGCATTCAAAATGTGGCCCGGGAATGGAATTCTGGGAACTTGAAGACCACGAAGTGGCCTACAGGTGGCTCCGGGCATTCAAAATCATGCCCAGGAATGGAGTTCTGGGACCTCGAAGACCACGAAGTGTGTCACTGTTTGCTTAAAACGACTTCCGCGGCTCCTCCCCGGCACCCGCCCAGACCCCCCTGGGGAGTCAAGATGCTCTCTTTTGACACTACTAGAAACCTATCAGTCTTCGCTGTTAGGTAAAAAACACACAGTCTGTGCGCTCGTTTTCCACTGTGTGTGTTTTCCCCCCCGCATCCCACTCTTCGGTCGCCCAGAAAGGGCGAGGTGGGGCTCCCCACCATGGGGATGCTCCACGGGACCCTCCGCGCCCACAGTTCCTGGGCATTGGGTGGACGGCCCCCGGAGGCCGAAAACGGTCGAGGGGGTCCCCACCTTGGGGTGCAGCTTTTGCAAGCCTCGCCAGAAATAAGACACACTGTGGGAGCAAAAACACACTGTGGGGAAAAACACACACAGTGGAGAAAAAACACACAGTGTGTTTTTGTTCCTACAGTGTGTTTTTTTTGTGCGTGCGTTTTCCCCACAGTGTGTGTGTGTGTGTGTGTGTGTGTGTGTTTGTGTGTGTGTTTTCCCCACAGTGTGTGTGTTTTCCCTACAGACTGTGCGGTTTTTCCACTGTGTGTGTTTTTCCCCACTGTGTGTTTTTCCCATGCCGTTCAGAAACGAAGCGCCCGGTAGTTCGGGCACAGCTCTGAAAACGCGTTCTTCGATCCTCTGAGGGCGCTGCCGGATTTCGGACCCCCCCTGCGTGTGGGCCAAACACTTCACGCCAGCATTGAGGTAGCGCCGACCGCGCAAGCGCCGAACGCAAGAGCCGCCAGTTTTCGTTTGGTGAGTCTTGTCGGAGGTCAAGTTCAGCATCGGTGCTGGCATATCCGTGATCGAAAACCCATCCAATCCAGCAGAGTCCTGCCGAATTCTGCTCATTCCCGTTTCATTTGGCTCAGTCCTGTTGAATTTCATGTGGGCTTAATTTGGCCAGGTGATGCAGGTCTCCCATCGGGGAACGATTAATAACACATAACGACATAAACATGATTTTGCGGAGGTCCGCGCTGATTTCTCGGATCGGCGCTGCACCCCTCTCCTTGGCGCGCGGAGCGGGCCAGAGGCGGCGACGCCAGGGGGGCCCAGCGCCGATCCAAGAAATCCTTGTGGACCTCCGAAAGCGTATGTTAATGCCGTTCTTTGCGGTCTTGGCTTCGCTCGGACGTGCGCATGTCCCATCGGCGAGAATCGTCGAGGAGCATCTCGGATCATGTCGCGGGAGAAGGAACGCACGAAGCCGAAACATCGCAGGCCCAGAGGTTTACACCAACACCAAGATCGGCGGTGCGCCTCCACCGAGGGAAGACGATCCCGATCTCGGTGATGGTGGTAATATTCTGGCTTCCAAGGTGGCCGAAATATTGCCACCAACACCGAAATCTAGGATCATCTGCCCCCTGTGGAGGCACCCCCCTGGGCTGGTGTTGGTGCCAATTTCCAGGCCTCCAAAAACATGCACGGCGCATGGACGTCCGAGCGATGGCGAGTGGGAGAGGAGACGCAGCGGAGGCGCCGCTCGGGCGCCCGTGGGAGCGGGGAGACGAGGCCGAGCCGCCCGAGCCAACCGCGGCCGCCCCCCTGCCGCCGGCTGCCCCCGCGCCGCGGGCTCCTCCAGGAGAAGGGGGAAGAGGAGGGAAGGGGGAGGGGGAGGGGGAGGGGGAGGAGGAGGAGGAGGAGGAGGAGGAGGAGGAGGAGGAGGAGGAGGAGGAGGAGGAGGAGGACGAGGAGGAGGAGGAGGAGGGGAAGGAGGAGAAAAGGAGAAAAGGAGAAAAGGAGGAGGAGGAGAAAAAAGGGAGGAGGGAGGAAGAGGAGGAGGAGGAGGAAAAGGAAGATGATGAGGAGGAGAAGGAGGAGGAGGAGGAGGAGGAAGAGGAGGAGAGGAGGAGGAGGAGGAGGGGGAGGGGAAGGAGGAGGAGGAGGAGGGGGAGGAGGAGGAGGAGGAGGAGGAGGAGGAGGAGGAGGAGGAGGAGGAGGAGAAAAGGAGGAGGAGGAGGAAGAAGAAGAAGAAGAAAGAAGAAGGGGGAGGAGGAGAGGGAGGAGGAGGAGGAGACGAGGAGGAGGAGGAGGAGGGGGAGGAGAAGGAGGAGGAGGAGGAGGAGGAGGAGGGGAGCCGAGGAGGAGGAGGAGGAGGAGGAGGAGGACGAGGAGGAGGAGGAGGAGGAGGAGGAGGAGGTGGAGGAGGAGGAGGGGAAGGAGGCGTAGGAGGAGGAGGAGGAGGAGGAGGAGGAGGAGGAGGGGGAGGAGGAGGAGGAGGAGGAGGGAGGGGGATGGGGGAGGAGAAGGAAGAGAAGGGGGCCGCTGACGTCACCCGCACGGCCGTCGTCGTCGTCGCGCCGCTGCCCCCGTTGCCGCCACTGCCGCTCTTCGCAGAAACAGTTCTAACCACCCCGCGCACCTTTCTGACCCCCTGCCCCCCCCATAGCTAGTTTTTGTTAGAGACTGTCCACCTGCGCGCTCTCGGCAAGCAAGACACCAGCAGCAACTTGGTTCTTCTTTGGGCTGACTAATGCGAGTTCGTGGCGACCGCGGTCGCGCCCACCCAGTTTTAGTGGTCGTCCTGTCTTCGTTTCGCCGAGCTCTGTCTAGCCTCCCACGCGCGGGGCGTTGTTCTCACGGAGACGGAGGCAGCCGAGCGCACGAAGCTGCAATCGACAGCTTTGCCGATGACCCCCCAGCAGCGCAACCCAAACGATACGGTTTGGAGCTGTGTGCTTCTTTAGCAGCGCATCTGTTACGAATTGTCATAGGCCGGCTGCCTGAAGCGGCGAGGGCGCCTCATTTAGGCATCGACGCCGCTCTCCGGGAGGACCCCACCCCCTTACATTCCTTTCTCATCTTTTGAATCGGGTCCTCCCTCTTCTCCTCTCCTCCTGGCAAAGTGGCGCGTTCGCCTGCGGCGCCGTGCTTGTATGTGGGGTTCGAGGGGGGTGTGGGGCATGCAGGGGAAGAGGGGGCAAACGCGGGAACTTGACACGACCCGTAGCACATGTTCAGATTGCCGCGGGTGCGCTGCCATTCATTGCTGTGCCAGCTGATGCTTCACCCTCTACTTGCTGTCTGTCCTGATGGAGAAAGCGGCGCAGACTTTACAGCACCTGACCAACTCTTGTAATACAAAAAGCGGGTGACGCAGGAAAGTTTGGCGAAGAGGGCAAGAGGCGAAGAAGGTGGTAATTATCACCCGGATGCGCGCGGCACCAATCCAATTCTCGCATTAATGGAAATGGCGCCCCATGTGCGCGGCACTTAACCAGACTACCTTCTTCTCCCTCTCCTGCTCCTGCTGCTCCTCCTCCTGATCATCATCAGCATCATCATCATCACCAGTCAGCATCAGCATCATCATAGTCACCATCACAATCGTCATCATCACCAGCATCACCATCATCATCATCAGCAGCAGCATCATCATCAGCTTCCTATTCATCTTCATCGTCATCATCACCCGCATTATCATTATCAGCACCACCATCATGCCCATCATCCCCATCATTATCTTCAGTATTATCCTCATCATCCTCCCGCTGTATGTCGGCGCCTCATTGCGGCTGTCGCGCTTCGGTATCGCCGAAACAACAACAAAACGAGGAGGAGGAGGAGGAGGAGGAGGAGGAGGAGGAGGAGGAGGAAGGGGGACCAGGAGGAGGAAGCAGAGGCGGAGGAGGAGGAGGAGGAGGAGGAGAAGGAGGCGGGGAAGGCGGAGGAGGAGGAGCAGGAGGGGACCGCGGACGCCACCCGCTCGGACGTCGCCGTCGTCGCGCCGCTGCCGCCGCCGCCGCTCGTCGCCGCCGTCGTCGCGTCGGTGCCGCCGACGTCTTCGTTGCCGTCGATTCTCTGCTCTTTCCATCTCTCCCTTTCTCCTGCCTCCCGTCCGTCGCCTCGCACCCGCCTCCCCCTCTTCCTCCCCGTCTTCTTTGTGTTGCGACGGCGGACAGCAATGTCCTTCGTGTCCATCCTATTCCTCCTCCTCCTGCCTCCGTCGTCGTCGTCGGAAGGAGGCAGGGGCGGAGGGAGGGAGGGGGGAGGGAAAGAAGGGAGAGGAGGATAATGAGGAGGAGGAGGAGGAGGAGGGGGAGGAGGAGGCGGCGGAGCAGGAGAAGGAGGGGGAAGAAGATGAGAACGAGGGCGAGGAATTGCGCTCTTTACTGTAAGTTTGTCTGCTATGGCTGTGTACGTGTTTTCGTTAAGTTTGGGTGGCATTCCTGCGGGTTCGGTTTGGGGTCGGAGGCAGAGGTTCCCTGAGTGAAGGGGGGACCCATGGGGCCCAACCACATGCATAACGCAGGTTTCGACCTCCGTTCTGAATGCTCGTCCCCAATTCCCGACGTCATTCCAATCACTTCAAAGATTCTGGGAGCCTTGGAAACCTCTCGGGAGTGAGGCAAGGAGGGGCCAATGTGGAGACCAGCGTCCGAAATTTGTTGATGTGCTCGGCTAAGCGTCCAAAGGGCCCGAGCCTCCCTGCCCCATGTCATGCAAGCATTTCAAGTAGCTAAACGCCTCCGACATCCAATCTGTGTGTCGGTACCCAGGGCACGCCCTGGATCCAGGCGCTTGCGATCCCAACCGCTGGTGGCGTCTCTGTCGCAGAAATCTGGGCTTAGGGTCAGTATCGTTTATCCGACCCCCATCCCCATCCCCATCCCCTTCGAGACCCCCACCAAATTATCCCCCCAGTTGGGGATACACCCCTCGGAACCCGAAGGGAACGGCCTTTATCCCCATCTTGGGGGGTAAGTCGGCCAGTGGGGCCCAGGCCACGCCGCTGGGGATAGTGATCGGATAAACGATACTCGGGGCGAGACGGAGCCGATGACGCACGATGTGTCCGACGTGCGGCACCCGCGAGCTTGCAGAGCCTCGCCTACGAAGCTCATGGCTTCCTCATCATGTTCATCACCACCATCACCGTCGCTTTGGTCATCATCCCTCTCCAGAGGTTGCGAAAAAGTAAGAAGACCACCGACCCAAATGAAAGCCATCCCTCTCCTTTCTCTCCCCCTTCCCCCTCCCCCGATTGTGGGGCGCTACTCCAAGTCGGGTGACATCGTTCTTCACGTAAATGTTGCTTCCGAGCCTCCCTGGCGGTTGTCAGATCTTCTGGAGGGATCGGGCCTCGACGATGGGTTGAGAAGGTGAAAGGATAGAAAGGACCTAGACTTCAGAGGACGCGAGCAAAAAGCTACACTTGCGTTTTTCGGCTGCCGTTGGGCCTCAGATCCATTTATACAACGAACTGCGACGTGCGACGTTGCAAAAACAATCATCCTGGCGAAGGACCAGGCCATATGCAGTTGTGTGTACAGTCGTTGAGGGCATCGCCGTCGGTGGAGCTCCCTTTGGGGCCACGAAACGTGTGAGGCTTTGTGTCGAATCGGGTGTGGGTACGCCATGCGGACTGTGCCACCGGGCCTTCGGTGGAGCTTCCTATGGGGCCACGAAGCGTGTTAGGGGTTTGCCGAATCGGATGCGGGTGCGCCGTGCGGACTGTGCCACCGGGGTCTGCGTCGGAGCCCCCATAGAGGGCCACGAAACGTGTGGGGGTGTGCCGAACCGGGCGCGGGTACGCCGTGCGGACTGTGCGCTGGGGCTTTCGGTGGAGCTTCCTATGGGGCTACGAATCGTAACTATGATGGTGATGGTGATGATGTTGATGGTGATGATGATGACGATGATGATGATGATGACCAGGAATGATGATGATGGTGATGATGATGACGATGATCAGGATGATGACGATGATCAGGATGATGCTGATGATGAGGATGAGGAAGAGAATGAGGATGAGGACGATGATGCTGATAATGATGATGATAATGATGAGGGTGGTGCTGATGCGGATCCTGATACTGATGCCGATGGTGATGCTGATGATGATGGTGATGATGACGATGGTGATACTGATGATGATGATGATGGTGATGATGGTGCTGGTGCTGATGCTGATGCTGATGCTGATGCTGATGATGAGCATGATTCAGATGATGATGATGAGGATGATGATGATGATGATGATGATTATGATGATGATGATCGTGATGATGATGATGATGATCATCACCATCAAAGTACTGATCATGATCATGATGATGAGCATGACCATGATGATGATCGTGATGATGATGGTGATGGTGATGGTAATGATTACGATTATGATGGGGGTGGTGATGATGACCGTGATGATGGTGATGGTGATGATAGTGATGATGGTGATGATGATGATGATGATGAAACTGAAACTGAAACTGATACTGATACTGATACTGATGCTGATGATGGTGGTGATGAGGATGAGGATGATAATGAGGATGTGGGTGAGGATGAGGATGAGGATGGGGATGAGGATGAGAACGAGGACTAGGATGATGGTGATGGTGATGATGGTGATTGCGGTGATGATGACGATGAAGATGATGATCATGATGATGATAAGGATAATATTCATAATAACATTATCACCAACTTTGAAATTGGGGGGAGGGGGGGGCGAATGCGGGGCCGAAGACGAAGGGTTTCCACTTTTTTGTCCCTTGCCGTCCCTGGTGGCTTCGCCGCACTAAGTTTCGTCTCGGGGAGTGGGCCGTCCTCACTGTCAAATCGGATTG